TGCAGCTTTTGGTTGTTGGTTACAGGATTTATGGTGGGTAATGCAGTATTTTGGAGGATTATGCTGTAATTGTGTTGTTGCCAAGGAAGTGCTATAGCTTGGTTAAAGATTCAGCAGTTTTGCAGTTTCTGTTTGCTCTTTTTGGGAGATTTTGCAACTGGTGTAGCTTGTGCGTGTGTGCAGTTTTTGAAGCTACTGCAATTTTTCTCTACCTTTGGTGCGGTGTACAGTCTTCGGGTGTCTGTTACAGCTTGTGTGGTCCATATTGTTTGTGCGTTTTTTGTTTTTGAGATTTCCTTCCAGCTTGTACAGCTTTTGTAGCTTTGCCCCTTGGGAATGCCCAAGGTTCTTGTTTCTAAAGGGGAGTCCCCTTTCCCAGGTTGTAATTCTTTCATTCTTGTATAAAATTATTGGGTTTACCCAAAAAAAATAAAAAGTAACTTATTATGAATATAATTATGTGTATATACATATATTGAATTTTTTGTTGTTTCTTCCAGATATGGATTAGTATTTACATATCACAAAAAGATTGCAAGATCATCTATACAAAGATTATGCCCCAAAAACACTGCACTAATAGCCAGCAAAATGCAGCATTGAAGTTGCAACTCCATAACACACTATACAAACAACCAATCTTCTTAACAAAACACTGCACTACAGAACTCCAAACTTACTTATGGGAACTGTAAAAATGCAATTTTCTGCTGCTGCTTCTCCAAACAAAACTCTCCAGAATCCTTTGTTTGGCCATGCACCAATGCCACCCACCACACAACAACCAACATACCCAAATACTGCAAAGAACAAAAACAAAGCTGTAGCACCAGAACACCTCAAGAGGTGATCCAACACACAAAAAACTACACTAACTCCAAAAATCTGTGAATTTCCAATACTACAAAGAACAAAAACGAAGCTATAGTACCAGAAAATCCTACACCAACCCAATAGTCTCCCCTGAAATTAATGTTGAATGTTGGAGACCTGCTAAAAAAAAATAAAAAAATACAGCTAATAAACATCTTAATACAATATTAGAAAGTTAATTCTAGTGCTTCCGAACCAAGACATACATCATTTATCAATGCACCATCCATGAGCAACTCATTCACATCACTAGCATATGCAGGCACCAATCTTAACCTACCACATTAAGGGAGCAAAAATATGGCAAGCAACAATGAAACCACACACAAGCATAAATCATGCACATCACTTTGATACATGATTTTTAAAAGAAAACTAAAGAATCATAGCACCTGGAGCTGCTGCGTAACAACTCGATTCTTATAAAAACATGCACTAGAAAATACACGTAACCATAATATAAAAGTTGGGCCCAAATTTTTTTCTTTCATTAAACATATGCATTCTTTATACAAATTATACAAGGTTTGTGACATATGCAAAACTATCAAAAAGGGTGGACAGTGTAGCCATTTCTCTTCGTGTGCCGATGTCCATCCGACGGTGTCCTCATCTAGAACCTGCAAAAACTAGGAACAACTGGATGAGCACAAACAAGGCTCAGTAAGTAAACCCCTGAACGATTATCTCCGTAACTCTTTCTTTACTCACTATCTAATTACTCTTTCTCATAGCTCCTCTATACTAACTTTCTTTCTAGTAAGTCACGGCCCCATCTGACCCGGCACGCTGGACTCGCTCCCACTCCCGGTGACTTCTACTCATTCTACCGTCGGACTTGGTTATGCATGGATTCGACCTTTGGCCATGTGAGTGCATAAAATCTCTCGGTAAACTCGGTATAGCCCTCATCCGATGTACACTACGGGCTACACCACTTCTCTTTCTGATATTCTGGCCGCTTTATTGATGCGGCGTACATCGGGAATACTCTACCCGTACTCACAGGTTCCCCATCGCAAAACCTACTCTATTCTCTATTAAGCACTACTTTAGCTTTACTCTATAGTGCTCATTCTCTCTTCTTTCTACTTTTAGATAGTCTAAACTCAAAAGTCTCTACTCTTTCTCTACTCTCTTTTCATATCATAAGTAAAGCATAATTAATGCACACAATGACTCATACTCATTAATGCATTTATGAAAAGTAACTATGACATGTAGAAACAATTAAGGCTTTCTACCCTTACTTATGACTCTTGAGCATTTCATCAGCAACTCATGTGCATAAATACTCTACTCTAACTCTAACTTTTCTGTTTTCTTTAATCAACCAATGGGAGAAAACTCCCCACAACAATCTAAATTCCCTGTCACAATAGAAACACTTCATAAGCTGCTCAAAACTTCCTCCAACTTCTATCAAACTCAACCCAACATCAAGCAATACCACACTTCTCATAACTCTAACTCAAACATAATTACTACTCTCATTCAACAATTAAAAGAAAGCACATATGTATTTCAATCTACTCAAAAGAGTTTCTAGATCTCAACTTAGGTTGAGTTTACTTACCTTATGAGAAATTACTTCTTTAACACTTCTCCTTCCTTTGAAGCTTGCTTTTCCTCTACAATTTAACCAACAATCACAACATAGATTCTAATCAAAACATAGGAAAACTCTCATCTAAAGCACAAATCCTTACCTTAGGAAGCTTTAGGTTAAAACCCTACTAAAAGTTTCTCAAAAAGGCTCTGTAACCTTGAAAGATTGAAGGAAATTTGAGAGAGTTTAGAAGAATGAAGGAGCGGTGAAATGGGAAATGAAGAACTTTCAAAGGCTAACCCTTTTTAATATCTCTAATACTCATTCTTCCCATTTTTGCCCTTGCTCTTTTATGGAATTCCATCCATATCCTTTGATTCCTTACTAACACACCCCCATACTAACATATTCTCCTTGAAATTTCCTTACAATTTACTCCCCACTTTTCCTGCTAATTAGGGGTAAATGGTCAATTGCCCTTATGAAAGAATATCTAAAACTTAGTAACATTTTGGTCGGACCGTCGCCGCGGCAAGGAAACTTCTGTCGCCATGGCGAAACTGTCCAGAAAGTTTCCCTTGGTTTCAACATCTCTTCGCCGCGGCGAAGTTCTTCTTCGCCTCGCGCGCTTGACACAGTACACTTCTTCTTTTTAACCAATTTCAAGGCAATTAGTCAACACAACACTCGTACTAATGTCAATCAAACAATATTACCACGATACCCTCAAATAAGCGCAAACGAAAGAACAATAACTACGTACCTCAAGTGGGGCATTACAGCTGCCCTTCAGCTGATGAACATGAGCATCCAACTTCCTGAAACTCAAGTTCTTTTGATCCTTGTGTAACATACAACAAGAACTCAACCACATGTTATTCTAAAATAACAACTTGGGCTGCATACACTTTTAAAATTCACATGTAACATCAACTTAGACAAAGAAACATAAATGAATTACATACCTGAGTGGCTTGATTAAATCCAAGTGTGAGACTAGGATTCAAACCTAGCAACTTCTTGTTGCCGCAATTTCTTCCCTTTTACTTTACGAACAATTTTTTCAACCTTTGATTGTTTTCTTTTGAATGGGGGACGACCTTTGCTACAAACAACCCGTGGAGTAAATATACTTACTACCTCCTTCTTTCAAAGTTCATCATCACTTCACAATCATTCTATATTCCTGACTATGTTGGTCTTTTATCAATCCCGACACTTTTATTTGACATCATTTATTCTTCATATCATTGATCATTTCTTTCACCTATTACAATCATCCTCATTGCTTGATGCCAATCTGCTACAACCTGAATAAATTAGACAACCATCAATCGTTGTCCGTCAAGATTGGTGCTCCAACTATTAAACTTATCTTCACCTTGGTATGGTGTCTGTTTATATTTTTCCTCCATTGTCTTAAACGTACTTTTCTGGCACATGAGAAATTTGCTTACAAATCAATACCACAATTGCATGTCGACATAAAATTCCTCTAAACTCAAACAATCGACAATTGCAACGAACATCACAAGTTGCTTCATCAAAGCAAACCACAAAAGGAACATGACGGTGAGTCTCTCCAACCAAAACATCTTCTTCTATTATAGATTCCATATAGGAACCAATCTCTTTGAAAGAAGATAAATCACAATAGACCTTAGCAGCTAACTCTTGTTGAAACTCTTTGAATTTTGCAGTGGTATATGCATCTTGGAATTGTTTCTCCATAGCATAAGTGGTTATGCAAGGGATCCATGATTTGAAAGATTTGAAATCAGCCTCCCTTTCTTTTTCCACTTTATCACACAATGCATTCTCATATTGTTCCACAAACTATTTTAAAGTGGTTTTTGAATTAACATATCCATCAAACGATGCATGCATACTTTCACTACGTTGAGTAGTAGACATACCTGCCGAAAAAGTATCTTTTACAAAAGCCGACACCCAATGTCGTCTTTCATTGTACAATCCAAGCAACCAATCATTGTCGTGAAGGTTGTATTTATCAATGAACCTATTCCAACGTTCTTCAAACTCCTCACATGTCAATGAATCATACATGACATTTTGCAAAAAAACACTTAATCTGTTCATATTGACTATAACCTCTAAGTTTTTCAGGCAATTTCTTCATTATATGCCACAAACACCATCTGTGTTGTGTACCAGGGAACACAATCTCGATTGCATTTTGCATTGCCTTATCTTGATCAGTGATTATTGCTTTAGGAGCACAATTCAACATACATGCAAGCCAAGATTGAAAAAGCCATACAAATGTCTTTGTGTCCTCGTTGGAGATTAACCCACAACCTAACAGTATCGAATGACCATGATGATCAACACCAATAAAAGCACCAAACGGAATATCATACTTGTTGGTCAAATATGTAGTGTCGAATGTCACAACATCATCAAACTCTTTAAATGTAGCCCTACTTCTTGCATCCACCCATAAAACATTCTTTAATGGATCTTCTTCATCTAAATTCATTATGTAGAAGAAATTAGAATTCTCATTTTGCATTTTCAAAAAATATTTTTGGATTGCAGAAACATCTCCAACACTAAGTCATAACCTCCTAATTTTTTCAATGTAGTTCCTACAATCTTTCTGTAGGAAAGGCAAATTCTCAGCACTGCCTGCTTCAACTAACATGGAATTGAAATTTTTATTTGGCCTAATCCCAACCCTATCATTCACTTCAAGCTTTCTTTTTACGTATGGTTGTATAATTCGATTGCTTCTAAAATATCTACTTTTGGTAGGACTACTGAGTTCATAGTTATGATCAAACACAACTGAACATATTTTCCATTTGCCGTCAGAACGTACAGCTGCACCAATTTGAGTCTTACAATCAGTTTTTGTCACTGGATGCATTTTAAAAGCATTTATGGGGTTACTGCGCGACTTCCCAATACAAGAACAAGCTAGTGCCGCATTTGTCACCTCTCCATCATATCCTTTCTTTGAAGATTGTATAATAACTTCGAAACCCATTTTATTCCCATAGCTTTTGTAGTGTTGGACAAGATTATCAAGCGAATCAAAAATCATTCCAGGCTTAGGCTCCCATTCCTCCTCTGCACCTCTTGTATCTTCCATTTCTTCAAAATGATTATCCTAATTTATTGATATTATAATAGCCATAATTAAAATATAATAATACAACAAAAAGGATAGGAACAATACCATAAAAAATTTAAAATCATATTAATGAATAAAAAGAGATTACCAACAAAATATTACCTCCACAACATTGAAATGAGAAGAAGAGTTGTCTGGATTTTTTTCACTACACTCTTCCATCTTTGGAACTTTGATATAACACCAAGACCAAGTTCAAAAAAGCATAACCTGCAATAAAAAGAAACAAATTGATAAATAAACTATTTTGCAATGAAATAGTCCAACAATTGTCAAACCACAACATAAGCAACAGATGTTAACAAGTACAACATTTTATTTATAACATTTTATCATGACTCTCAAGCTCCTATATTGTTCTTAGATGATGTTTTAAAGCTATGGAAATAATACCATGAAGCAAAGATGGTTAAATCTTATGGGTTTCTATTTTGAGAGCAATTTTTTTATAAATTCAGCAGATGAAAATGATGGGTGTTGGCGGAAGATGATGGTCAGTGCTGGTGGTAGACGACAGTGGTTGATGCTAGTGGTGAAGATGGCAGGCCACAGTGGTGGTGGTAGAGGATACACTGCTGGTCAGTGGCGGGTCTCTGTTTTTAGTTTGAAAATGTTTATTCATTTTCAATTTTTTTTTTAAGGCTTTAGAGGGAACTGAGCTGGCTAAACGTGGCTATTACCCACGTCAGTTAGTACTGAATTTGTACACCTTAGGTTAGTGCAGGTAGCTTTATTGTTTGCATTTTTCAATAAACTTACTTCGGAAAAACAACCCTCAAAAACACTCTTCATACATGTCTTTGAGATCCCTATTTCGTTCGTCTTCAATCTCTCAAAACCCATCTGCAAAAGTTAATGTTTTATTTTTGTTAGCTCACTTACACAACCTCACGTCTTCAAGCTCCAGAAATGAAGTTTTGTATTCTTTGGAAAAACCCCTGGAACGATCCTCACTTGCTAAATTCCTCAAAGAAAATTGTCGATCAGGTAGCCTTACTCTAAATGAAGCATTGTACTTTTTTTATTACATGATTAATGCGAAACCCATTTCTCGAATTTCATCATTCACTACTTTGTTTAGTGCACTAGCTAAGAAGAAGCATTATTACGAAGTGATTTCGCTTTATAAGCTATTGAATTCAACCGGGTCTCCGGATTTTATATATTTGAATATTTTGATGAATTGCTTCTGTTATGTTGAAAGGGTTTCTAATGGTCATGTGGTTTTTGGGGCGATTTTGAAGTTGGGTTTTAGCCCAAATGTCGTGACATTTACTTGTTTGATTAAAGGTCTATGTGTAGAGAGAATGGAATCAATGGAATTGTTTAAGCAAATGGTTGCTATTGGTTATAGGGATGATGCAATCACTTGCAACACTTTGATTGGTGGTTTGTGTAAAACAGGGAAGATAAGTGTTGCCATTAAGTTGCTTGAAGAGATAGTTAATGGGAATAAAGAATTTGATGTTATTTGTAGGCCAAATGTGGTTACTTATAATACTATAATTGATGGTCTTTCTAAGGCTGGATTGGTTTAGAAGGCTAGACAACTATTGTTGGAACATATGATTCAGAGAGGTGTGGTTCTTAACATTTATACTTACACCATTTTATTAAACGGTTATTGCTTGACAGATAGAATTGGTGATGCAAAGGAGTTGTTTGATTTTATAACTAGAAACGGGTATAGGCCTAATGTTGTTTGCTACAGTACTTTAATCAATTGGTATTGCAAGAATAAAGAAGTCAATGAAGCTCTTAGTCTTTATCGAGAGATGATTTCAAAAGGAATTAGACCTAATGTGATTACATATACCACCTTGTTAACTGGGTTTTTTCTTATAGCTAAGGTGAAAGATGCATGGAATTTAGTTGGTGAGATGTGACTTAACGATGTTTTCCCTGATTCCTGGACATATAACATTTTCATTGATGGACTTTGCAAGAATGGATGTGTTTTGGAAGCATTGGAAATGTTTAATACTCTAGTAATTAATAAGTTTGCAGTTGGCATTGAAGATTTGAGTTCCCTGATTGATGGATTATGTAAAACAGGGAGATTCGAAACTGCTTAGGACCTATTTCAGAAATTTTCTCTTCTTGGAAACCTAGTGCCAAACGTTGTAACGTATAGCATTTTGATCAATGGGCTATGTAAAAATGGATAGCTAGAAATGGCAAATAAGTTGTCGTTATATATGGAGGAAAAAGGTTGTGCTCCATATGTAGTTACATTTACTATGCTTATGTTTGGTTTCCTCAAGAATAATGAGATACAAAAAGTTGTTGAACTCCTTCATAAGATGGCAGAGAAAAATGTGAAGCCGACTGAATGTACAATGTCCTTAGTCATGCAACTACTAATGAAGGCCAAAAATTATCGTGAATGTTTGAATGAGCTTCCTCAATTTCCGGTCCAAAAGCAAAATTAAAGTTTACTTGATAAAACTTTAGTGAGTATTAGACTTTTTTCGGAGCAAAGTCCTGCAAAAGTTCATCCAACTGCCCAAATGCTTTATTTTGGTTACGGTAAGAGGAAGGTTCAGTAAACACTTTCATTTGTAAGAATTTGATAGGGAGGGTGATGGGGAAGATTGAGAATGATGGCTTCCTTGATCAGACATACAATATGTGATATGTCTCTATTGTAAGTGCATATTGTGGAGGTGGTAGCATTGCAGGCTGCGTCTGGATTTGCACATGAAGTAGGTCTTAAGGGTTTGAGGATTATTTTTGGTGAAAATTTCAGTAAGCAAAAGTTGTATATAAGAAATTGTGGAATGGTTCTTACTTCAACTACAACGATAATGGTAGCCGCTCAAGTTCATATATTCAAGCTGATTAGTTTACTGGACGATGGTATGTTGCTACTGATTAACTTCATTCATTGATATTCTCAAATATCCAGGCCTGATAAATCTTGATTTATTTATAGTGTTTCACATGTTTCTGTTTCTCAAAATATATTCTTTTTTAGTTCAAATCTGATAAGACTATAACTTACCAGGTGTGTCTCTAATGTAGTTATGCACGAGCATGGGCTCTTTCAGCGATAGTTGATGAAGACAAAGAAAAAAGAGCATTAGAAAAGGTTTTTCACTATAATATCTTAAAGAATATGGATCCACAACAGGGGCCGGTCAGTGGGATCTACCTGTTGGAACAGCTGACATGACAACATTGCAGTCAAGAAAACTATGGTCTGGTGTTACATATGCAGTTGCTGTAACGATAATTGTGGAGATTTGGTCTATATGGGATTTCAAATTGCCATTGAAATCTATGAAGCAGCATGGTCTGAAAATGGACTCGGGTAAGAACCCCCTAAGTTTATTAAACGCTATTATCTTATAGCTTAGTTAATAGGCTATTAACTAAGTTATGATTTTATGGTTTTTAGATCTAAATCTACTCAAATATGTATAGATTTCATTGCATCATCTGTTTTGTCCGTTCATTTATTTTTTTTGGTGGATGTGCCGTTTAACCATTTTCTAGTAGATTCTTGATGTTGTGAAATGTTGGACAAAACTCCGGTAGTTATGATGTCTAGTAGATAATATTTTTGCTCCTTAGGTGATGGAGGAACAAAAAATATTATTAGGGAAATAGAGAGAAATTAATAGGTTAAGAGGGGAAATCAAGAAAGGGATACCAAGGACTGAAATACTATATCCTAAAATGTAGAAGATAGGACTAAATACCCATTTGCACCCTTCCTTTTATGTCCTGCATCGTCAGGTTACTGCCTTTAGATAATTTTCTGCCAATTACAATTGGAAACTTTACATACTGCATAATTTACATTAAAAATTATCTGCTCCATAACTATTTGTTCCTGATAATTCATTGACTCATTGTTGTTTTCTGCGTAGTTATTCTTTCTAAACTCCTGAAGCTTGGACCACCGTTGATTGTTTTAGAGCACTAAGTTAGATGCATTCTTTGGCCATATGGGCAATGGGCTCTTACAAGGCCAAAACCTTGTAAGAATGGGATGAAACCAATAATAAATGAAGAATGTCTGTACAGATATCATGCAAGATTCTGCAAATTTGCTTGCCTTCTAAAGGTATTGGATGAGAAAACGCTTATAGGTCTTTTACACTCGCTCTTGTATTACACTCGCAAGAAGATGTTTCCATAATTGATTGGTTCTTGTGACTTATTACCGTCATGCAATTGTATGTATAGTAATGAGTTTTATTTTAAAAGAAAACATTTGAAATGCTTATGTAGATTGTATTGTTCTACTATTAGTTATCCGATTCTTGTAACTATTCTCAGAATTTAGTTTTGATGGGTACTATTGTTTCCAAATTTTGCAAATAAGGGTTATAACACAGATTACAATGTTATAGGAACTAGGAAGCACATTCATAACAAAAATTCTTTATTGAGATGGGTGTGTGTCTGACTGTTTAATCACTTGATATGTGCTTATCATATACGTTAATGTATCAGTTAATGTATATGATCAGTTACTAGTTTTATAGGATCAGGTCAATTTTCCATTTCACAAAATTAGAATTTAGAACAATTATTAGTTTATGGTATGAGATCATTTATTAGTTATTAGTTCTAATGTATTAGAAACGAACTAATAAAGTAAACAATTAATAATAATAGTTTTAGTACTAGACATTAAAAATACAGAACCAAAGAAAATATATAATATATCTCTATTTTATTATTAGCAGTTTTAAGAAATAATTTAGATAATTGTGCCATAATTACATAGACATTATTTTCAGAAAAGCATAAGTAAAGAAAAAATGTTTTACAAAATCATCTATTCACTGAATATTTTTAGGTCATCACAGAAATTTTGTTGAATAGTGATTTTTGCTCAAAGTTGGGTTCACGCGACAGTTTCATTTTGCATGTCATGCTGCATGTAATGATGTAAACTGTATGAGGGTTATCACCCATAAACGGTTAGTTTTTTTTACATTCGA